AAAAAAAAAAAAAAAAAAAAGAAAGGGCAAGTGGCCGGGTCCTCATCCAATGAAACCAAACAGGAGTTGGTTTTCTTTAAATATTGTACACGTGCAGGAATATGCATGGATTATGCACACAGCTTGATAAATGTTCACAAGCTGAACACACCCTCACAACTGGCACTCAGATTAAGAAGCAAAATATTACCAGCACTGGGAAAACCCTCTTCTGCCCCACACAAGGAATTGTCCCCTCTAGAGTAACCGCTATTCTGACTTCTAACAGTGTAGAGAGTGTAGAGAAAGTGCTAGCCTTTTTATGGAAATGCAATCTAACGGTACCCACTTTGACATTATGTGTGTGAGGGTCACCTTTATCGTTGTGTGTAATTGTAAGTTGTTTAGTTACTGTACAAACATCTATTAGGGAGTAAGCTGGATGTATTTATCCATGCTGTGTTGATGAGTATTTGGCTAGTTTCAATTTAGCAGCATTATAAATTGTGCTGTTAGGAACATGTTGGTCCATGGCCTTTGATGGACATACGTATGCATTTCTGTAGGGTATGCACCTGTGTACCTGAGGGAACATGCTGGACCAAAGAGAATGTGTGTGCTTAACTTTGGTAGAAACCGCCAACTGGTTTCTACCATGATCATACCAAATCACCCTGCTGTCCACAGTGTATCAAAGTTCATGTTCATGTCAACATTTTGTTCATGACGACAATTTGTCTCGTAAATTGTTACAATTTTGGCTGGGGAGTAGAGGAGATGCAAGGACTTTTGCTATGGATTTCAGGTAATTTTTTTTCCTTTTAGAGAGAGCCACAGCCAGATGGCCGGTTCGCCCTGTGAATGTTCATGATAAGCAACAGCCCCACTGGTTGTTGGGAGCCAATTGCAGCCATTGGCCAGTAAGTTAAAAAGAAAGCTTCATGACATCATTAAGCTGCTGGATCGACAACACAATCCATTACCTCGTTGTTTAAACTGGCTTGCTCTGTTCTGTTATCTGTATCCGAAAGCATCTAGAGTCTCACAACATCCTTGTCTAGATGAGAGTTATAGGTTTCCTTTTTTCTGATGTGGAAACTGATTGTCCAGGGAAATTCGATGATCCTGCCATGGCTGGGGAGTTGGCGAAGGGTGGATCTGGGACCAAGGTGGATTTTGGGCCCCTGTCTACTGCTGTTCCACCTTTCCTCTCCTTTCCTGGCAGGTCCAAAATGAAATGACCACATAGCTGCAGCCTTTCGGTGGTGCCAAATTATGGAGCTAATGTGCAACCCCCAGGCCTGCTAGCAGAGAGGCCACACTTCCTGAAAATGAAGCCTTCACAGCTCCATTCCTGCCTCACCCAGTCATGAGAAAACTGTCCGCCCTGTGAGATGAGTCCCTGGGCCTTCAGGGAAAAACGGACTGGTGCATTTTAGTCATAAATGGCTAATACGGAAATGAAGCTGGGAGACGAGGAGGAGCAGACTCCGTAGTAGCAGGTCCCCTTCCCGCCAGACAGACGCAGGAGCTGTAAGCAGCAGCTTCCCAACTTAGAAACCCAGTTCACCTCATTTTGTCAGGGTAGATTCCACTGATACAAAACTTCAGTGGAGCAGTTGATAGTTCAGGGATCTAAAAACATCTTTTCACTAGAAAGCAGTCTTTGAGACTCAGCCTAACTGTTCTGTCTACATAAAATATTACAAAGCACTCTGCAGCCAACTTGTTCTCAAGGCAGGGGGCAGGATCCATTACCAATCCCTTTCGACTGTGGTACATTTGTCTTCAAGACTAAACTCAACTACAGACGGTCGGGCTGCCTCTGGAGCAAAGCCTCAAAGGCTTGCTGCAGGACAGGCCACCAAACTGGTCATGTCCCGCCCCCTCCAGTGGGTTTACATTGCAATGCTAATGAAATCTGTATTCCTGACTCTGGCCTTCAAGGCTCTTCATGACCTGGCCTTGCCCTATCTACAGACCACAGTGTTGCAGACTCGCTGAACTTCCGTCTGTTCCTTGAATACACAACGTTTTTAGGGCCTCGGGGACATTGCACTTCCCCTTCCTCTTCTGGAACTTTTCTCCCCAGCTCAATGTCTAGAGAACTCCTCATTCTTCAGTTCTTAGACAAACACCACTATCTCAAAGAGTCTTCCCTGAGTCTCCGCTGAAGTAGCACCCTGTCAGTCTATCGTGTCACCTGCTTTATTATCTTCTTAGCACTCATTACAATGTGTGATCACCTATTTATTATCCATAAGCCCGGTGGCAGCAGGGACCCTGTCTGTCTTGCTCATGGCTATATTCACAACACCTGGAACAGCAGGAACATGGAAGCTGCTATAAATGAATAAATGGCTGGTGTAGTGGCTCACACCTGTAATCCCAGCACTCTGGGAGGCTGAGGCCGCAGAATTGCTTGAGCTCAGGAGTTTGAAACTTATCTGAGTAAGAGTGAGACTCTGACTTACTAAAAAAAAGAAAAATCCAGCTGGGTGCCATAGCCAGTGCCTGTAATCCCAGTGGCTTCTGGAGGCTGAGGTAGCGAGATGCCCACAGCCCTACCCAGGTCTGAGGTTGCAGTGAGCTATGACACCACTGAACTCTGCTCAGGAAATAAGGTGGGACTCTGTCCTGATAGGAAAGAAAAACCCCAAAACAAAAAAAACTTCCAAGGAAACAAAAAGAAAAAAGTTTAAAGAAAAGAAAAATAAATAAATGAAATAAAGAATGTTCCAATATAGATTAACTGCTGGGGACTTTGTTCTGGGTTGAGGCCATTTTACTATTTACTAGCTCCTTTGCCAAAGAAATGTTCCCAGCAAAAGAAAAAGAAAAAAATATATATGTAAACACAGAGTGCGGGGCGGGAATTAGTAGGAAAAGAGACTGGAAATAATCCCATCCCAAAAGGATGATTTGAAACGCTTTGTGAATTCTTTTACCCTCAGCAAATCTCCCAGGAGGCCACAGTAGATAGATTGTGAGCCTCATCCAACGCCACATCACATGGTATTTTATATTTTTCTAAAACTGTTTTTTTTCCCAATCAGTAATCCTGCCCATGGTCATAATGTATTGCTGATTATCTGGTGGGGATCCATTAGGCTTTTGTAAATATTTGGTGTGGGACATCTTCTGAGCACGTATATATGACTATTCGTGAGTGCAGGGTGAATTGTACAAAAACGGCCACTTTGAAGACATCTGTGCGATACTCTTGCCATCCTTAAACACAGAGTAAGTAAATCATTCTCAACATCTCTACTTTCAGAGACCTTCTGGTTCAAGCTTCCCATTTTACAGATGACAAAGCTTGAGGCACAGAGTTAGGTAACTTTCCCAGGTCACAGAGCTAGTTAGGCACTAAACCAATTCTAGATTCTGTGTCTCTGACTCCTGACAGAGTTCTTTCCTTACCCCCCGGCGCACTGAGGTAAACCAGCCTCGCTGGCTGAGGAGATACTTACCCATCAGAACAGCAGGGAGCAAAAGGGGCAGGTGCCCTGCGCAAGGCTGTGCGGTCCCCACCGTCTCACCGTGGGCGGGTGAAGGAGGCGGAAACGAATATGGACAGGCCCCAGCTGAAGGCGCCTGGCTGGGGCGGGGCGGGGCGCGTTCGTACACGGCTCCCGCAGCAGCATCTTCACCTCCGGGCCGCTCAGCTCTGAGACCATTTGCCCCCAGCCCTCTCAGCACCCCAGCCTTGGAGATTTCCACCGAAGCCCAGAGGCCTGGGGACCTCAAAGCTGAGGCCCGGGCCCTCCGTCCCGGACGCTATACTGGAGCCCAGGAGGTCACCGTGTCCCCAGGCCAGAGAGGAGGCAGGGGGCGACAGGCGAGGGAGGAGAGGGAAGAAGGGAGGGCGGAGCAAAGCCGGGACCCGAGTCCTCGAGGCCTTTTCTCCGGATGCGGGAATCGCGTCTCAAGTGTCTGGGGAGTGGAGAACGGGTCCTTCACCCCGGCCACCCGGATCTGTCCTTGAACCTCGGATCGACCGCGCCGCAGCCAGGACCCTCGCCCGGTCCCCGGGCGCCCCCGGGCCGAGGCGACTGAGCTGCTGGGGCCCCGAAGCGCCCACCCCCCACCCCCGGGCGCCCAGCCTGTCGCCGCCCGCGCCTACCTGTAGTAGCGGTCATCTTTGAAAGGCGTGAGGTCCTCCTTCAGCTCGCGGTACGCCTCCTGCAGCCGCTTGCACAGGAGCTTGAGCTCGCCGCAGAGCGGGGGCTCGAAGGCAGGGTACTCGGCGTCCATGCCCGCGCCGCGCTCCGGAGCCCGAGCCCGAGCCCCGCGTCGCCCCCTCCCGCCGCTCCGCCCTTTGTGTGTTCTTCGCCCCTCGCCTCCCAGCGCCCGGATCCGGGCCGCCGGCGCGCGGGGCGGGACCCGGGAGGAGAAGCAGGTGCGCGCGAGAGGGGGAGGCGCGGAGGAAAGGGACCTGGCGCCACCGCGCCGCCGCGAGCACGCGGGGCTGGCCCGGCGATGAGCCTACGGGCGGCCGAGCCCACCCGCCGCCGCCCCGGAGGGTCACAGGAGGGGAGGAAGTCCTACACGAGACATCTGCCGCCGGGACTAAAATGTGAAGTGCCGACCCCTCTAGGGCCCTCCCTGGGAGGAGAAGAAACTGGAGGTGTGGGCCAGGAGGAAAACGGGGCTGGGGACCAGAGTCCTTTCCCGCTGGGAAGGTCAAAGGCTGAACTGGCTACCGCGTTCAGCACCGCGGACAGCTCCCGCCGATGCCTGCTGGATCCGTGGGTTCCATTTGGGCTGATACAAAAGCATTTTAAATTATGGTTACATCATGATAGACTATTTTTAACAATAAAGGAAGTGTGTTGTCCAAGTGTGGTGCCCCTTTTCACGCGCATTGCGGCCTCCAAGAAAAGTCTGGGCAAAGGAGTTTCTCGTTCTCTGCAAAGCTCGAAACTAGAGTGTGCTTACAAATTAACAGGTCTTCCTGGGGTGAGGAAGAGTTATCCAAAGAGTGGTGTGGTCTCCTCTTGTGAATTTTCCCAATGATAAGTGGAGAAACAGTTGTTCCAGATGATGCGGGTGAGTTTTTCCACCTGAATCAAGACTGGTTTCCATACAAGACGGATCTTGCCTGCATTGGAGGAACTACATGCTTGAACCTAAATGATAGACTGTGGTCCCCATATAGAGTATGGGTAGCTGTCGTAGCTCCCCAAGTGAGTCTATCGATCACTCAGGTGCAGACAGTCCCACCTCCCCGAGTTCCCGCTGTCTGCGCCCCAGCTCTACCCGCCGTTCTCTCTTTCTCCTTCTGTATTTTGACTTCCTCCCTCCTCTTGCGTTCTAGAACCACTTTAGCTAAGCTCTCCTGCCAGGCCTTGCAAATCTTTGCATAACTTCTGACCATCCGGGCACTGGGCACAGTTAGGTTTCAGCCTTCATTCATTGATGTGCGCGTTCATATTTAATCATTTCAGGGCAATATAAAGAGAAACTCAGGACTGGTAATACTCACAACACGACGCATAAGAAAAGCTCCTTCAGAAAACGCACATGCGGATTTGTCTTCTCTAATGAAGTAGACGCTCCGAGTCCAGCATGTACCTATTTCAAATACTTCCGTTGGTTATGGCAAGGCCATCTTGAGATTCCCCCCCACACCCCCACCCAGCTTGGCTCCCAGCCAAAGGCAGCCAGGTGAGCAACACACAGTAGGAGACATGTCCAGCTACGTCCAGCACACCACCAGGGACATGAGATTGGTGACGTTTCAAGCAAATAAATTTGGGGATAATTTGTTTTGCCACAATAGAAAATTGATAGGACTGGTCCAGTTCTGTAGGGAAGGAGTTTTTCCTTTCCTACCAGAGGGTGCAGGTCTGGCTGCCAGTACACTGGGAGCAGAGAGAAGGGAGAAGGGGGGTATAATGTAAATAAGGTGCACAATTGTGAGAGTACAGATTATTTAAACTTTACATATCTATTCATCCATGTAACCCCCACCAAAGTGAAGAAGTGGAATGGTTCCGATCCCCAACAGGCCCCATCTCTCTCTCCCTTTCACCCCCTTCTGGGCATAACCACCCTCTGGCACCTCTCACATCCATACTGTTGGGTCTGGTTTTGAACATTATAGATTCGCACAGTCTGCCTTCTTTTGTGGCTTTGTTTGCCAGATGCTGTGCCCATGATGTTTCCCGTTGTTTTATCTAGCAGTCACTCTTAAATTGCTATGTAGCATCTAAATAATTCATCAGTCTGGCACCTACCCAATCTCCTTAGAATTTATGCAGATGTCACCAGGCCAGCCCACTGTCACTTACCACTCTGCTTATTCAACTTGCTGGTGTGTGTAACTGCCTCCCACATTCGGTGCCCAGGCCTGGCAATCCTCTCACAGCCTCCCTCAGCTATCCCATACACGTTCCTTCCCCATGCCACACCCAGAGTTTTCTGTTGTCCCTGTGACTCTGCTTTGCCTCAATCCTTAACATTTTACACAACTGAAACTAAATCATGTGAACTATTTGAAATTATGTTTTTTCACTTCAGAAAATAAGTTAAGGGTGGGGTGTGGTGGCTCACACCTGTAATCATAGCACTTTGGGAGGTTGAAGTAGGAGGGTCACTTCAGGCCAGTAGTTTCAGACAAGCTGGGCAACACTGTTTCTGTAAAAAAAAAAAAAAAAAAAAAAGTAATGCATAATTATAAAAACTTTTTTTTTTTTGAGACAGAGTCTCATTTTGTCACCCTTGGTACAGTGTTGTGGTATCACAGCTCGCAGCAACCTTGAATGCTTAGGCTTAAGCCATTCTCTTGCCTCAGCCTCCAGAGTAGCTAGGACTTTAAGTACCTGCCACAAAGCCTGGTTATTTTTTGAGATGGAGTCTTGCTCTTGCTCAGGCTGGTCTCAAACCTGTGAGCTCAGGCAATCCACCCATCTTGGTCTCCCAAGTGCTGGAATTATAGGCATGGGCCACCATGCATGGCCCCTATAAAACCTTTTAAAATATCGTTTTTAATGTTGCACAGTGTTTTAGCTCACAGATTTACACTTATAATTCACTTAATCAATCCCCTATTGTTCACTATTGGTTATTTTAAGGTTTAGCTGTTATAAATAATGCTGCAAAGAACATCTCATTCACAAATCTTTGAATTTCAAATTATATCTTTAGAATCAGAAATAAAATTATATTTAAAAATATGTATTTTGCAAGTACAAGTTGGATCTATCAGGTGTAGAGCACAAAGGTCTTAATCCTGTAATTGGGTAAATGAGGTGAAGGCTATGTTGTTTAGTAGGATATAAGCACTCCAATTTGTACAAATAATCAACACATTGAATCCCATAATGGCATAAATGTATTTATAATCTATGTACAAATGACCTAATAAAAAATAAAAAAGGAAAAAGTAGAAAAGAAAAAATTTTAAAATGTGTTTTATCCTGGAAAATTCTAAGTATATAAAGGCTAATGAATCCCTTTGTTACACGAACCTCATGGTGGGAGAGTTATATGAACCCCTATTAACCAGCTTCAAGCTAGAATGCACATTTAAAGAGATGCTGGCTAAATCTAATCAATCACTAATGGTGGAATTTAAGGCAACTGCTTCTGGCTTAATTTCTGTTAGGAGACTCTTTTTGTAGCAGAGAGAACTTTCTGTTAGTGCCTCTTACACAAAGCAGGTAGGCACTTGTTCCTCAACAAGACTGCCTCTTCATCCTTGATGGTGGGGTTGGCCACGAGGCAGGTGTGTTTGGTTAGCTGAATGACATCCCACTCTTTGAACTTGCACTGGAAATAGACATCCACTCAGGAATCAGAGAGACTAAAAAGAATGATGTGAACACCAATGAAAATGAGTCTGTAGTCATAAAGAAAGTCAGATGGCAAAGTGTTTTATTTCTAACTTTCAATGTTATTATAGTGAATTTCAGCAAACTCAAATCCAGTCCAGAAAGCTAAATAAGCATGAGAACATATTGGGGTTTATACAAAACCATAGGCTTTCTGTCCAACTAAACCACACTCAAGCCTCATGCTTGGGATAGGAAAATAGAAAAATGCTTTCCCTTACTGTTGCAGACTAACAAGAAATCATTATTATCAATCACAAACACGGCTTGGAAGACTCTTCTGAAGTTCATTGCTCCTTCCCTGATTTGGTTAAATCTGGTGAAAATATCCTATTATAATGATGGGGTAGACATCTAGATGCAATCAAAATGTTGGGAGCTGTTCACATGTGTCTATGTGGAGACAAAAGTGACTCCATGTTGGAGCTGATCACCAACCATGATGACTTCTGACTGGCCCAGTCTCTGGGAACACCTCCCAATTCCTGCTTTGTTCACTGTCCGTAGTGTAAGAACATGTATTCACTATAAATACTGCCTTTAGATCAAAGCAACCTGATGTCATTGCACAAATTATAGGCTGTGACACAAACAGAATCCTTGCCTGTTCTGGAGGGTGGCCTTTCACATCTGTCGGGCATGCACACGCTTTCCCTACGGTATGGAAGCCCTGGGTCTGAGGACTAACAGTGCGGACATGTACCTGCACAAGACCATGCTTCTGTCTGAACTCCCCCCAGTCAATCACTTCATACTTACAAACAGGATTTGTTCGCCACCTTCTTTGTTTTCTTGGCTCCTACATTTAGGAACCACTTTGCATACAGGGACCTTTCATCACACACTCTCCAACCAGACCTCTAGAAGGCAGAAACTGATTCCCACTCAATTTTGGATCTTTAGTACCTAAGACTGTCTAGGACATAATGAGTATTTAACTTGTTTACCAAGATCAAATAAAATTAAAGTGTGCCGCTCCTGCCTCAATGTTCAACTAAAAACCAAGATCATATTTTTTTTTTTTTTTTGAGACAGAGTCTCAAGCTGTCTTCCTGGGTAGAGTGCTGTGACATCACAGCTCACAGCAACCTCCAACTCCTGGGCTCAAGCGAGTCTCCTGCCTCAGCCTCCCAAGTAGCTGGGACCACAGGTGCCCACCACAATGCCTGGCTATTTTTTGGTTGCAGCCATCATTGTTGTTTGGTGGGCCCGGGCTGGATTCGAACCCACTACCTTGGGTGTACATGGCTGGCACCTTAGCCACTTGAGCCACAGGTGCCGAGCCAAAACCAAGATCATATTAACAAGATTTTGAAAAATATTTGAGGCCAGAATTCTTCATGCATTATCTAAGTAAAATACATTGTTTACTTAAAGGAAAATTAACCAAAAACAGTGTGTAATTATACTTTGGATGTGTCTCTAAAGGTGTTGATGGCACAAAAGGAGAAATACCACCTAACATTAATTCTTCGTGTCTGTCTTTTTGTTTGTTGATTAGATTTTAAAGGGCATTCTTCCCTCTGAGAACGTAAGGGAGCTGGCAAATGATCATCAAAACTACTCTTCAGATCCTTTTCATCCTCTGGGAGGGATCAAATGAGAGAAGGTCATAAGAAAATCTAACTAGAAAATGAGCAGGAAGGGCCCTGGGAGCAGCTGGTATAATTTATTCTTGCTGAATCACAAACAGCACACATGCATGCTTGCTGTGCTGCTCACAAGAAGCCAGGCAATGAGTCTCTTATTTCTCTGGCTCGTAACTGAGATACTCCCTGGGTGCCTAATAACTATAATAGAGCCATTTTATTAAGCACCTACTGTGTGCTGGGCTTTGTGCTAAGCACTTACTGGCATTGTCATCTTGTTTTCTCAGCAGTTGACAAGGAGGTGCTACTATCATCAGTGTCTTGAGGTGCTGAAGTTCAGTATAGGAGTTGTGTTGGCACCCAGATGTGTCTGACTTCAGAAAATTCCTTTACCCAATATACAGTCCAGTCTCTACTGAGGCACCCCATGGAAGGCCAGTTGAGTTTGGAGACTAAGGAGTTGTAGCTCCACTAAGAAACAGTTCCATTTCACACAAGCCATTGAAGATACAGCCTAGACTTAAGGCCATTCAGACTAAAACCTCTAGAGGCCTGTTGCAGCTGTAACCGAGAGCAATGTGCAGGTGTGTTTGTTCACGCACGTGTTCGTGAGGAGCAATGCTCATGTCTTCTGGGCTGCTGGTCCCATGCCAGAGCCTCCCACCAACCAAACCTGTCAGAAGGCGAGGATGGAGGAAGGCCAGCCAGTCACACAGTCCATAGTCAGCCTCCTGGGACCCGGGACTAGATACATAAGGGGGCAGGCATGGGGGCAGGGAGGGAAGCAAAGGGAGTAACTCACAGAATTTCCCTCTGGCATCAGTGAATCCTAGAGGTTTGCCGTTTGTTGGTAGGGAGTAAATAGGACCTAAGAGATGAACATCCTGTCCCCTTTTGCAGTCCTAAGAGTAGTTTTAAGGAGAAGAAAGAGCAAGTCAAGTGTGAAGCAGATAGACCTGAGTGTCCTGGGTTTCCCTGGGCTTTAGCTCAAAGACGACAGGGAGAGCTCTCGTCCTCTTCTGTGGATCTGTGCTTGAGTATTTGAAGGAAAGGCTCACAGGCCCCTGAACAGAGAATACTAGAAGGCTGACACTGTGAAGGACAAGGAAATCAAGTGGTGAACGTGAGAGCACAGCTGAGAACAGAGCAGGACCGAGTCCGGCCCCAGGCCCTGGTGTGGTGCTGCTGTACATTAACATACCCCATCTCATCCTGAAAAGGGCTCAAGGTATGTCTTGTGCCTTTAGCCTTGAATTTTTTTTTTTTTTTTGAGACAGAGCCTCAAGCTGTCCCCCTGGGTAGAGTGCCGTGGCATTACAGCTCACAGCAACCTCAAACTCCTCTGCCATGGGCTGTAGTGAAGGGTGCCTGGGCA